CAGATTGAGTTTCACACTGAAGTTGCCTAGCACCACGTTTTAAAAGCACAGTAACTCCATCCTGTGCAGAGCTGGGGAGGACAATTAGGTGCAGAAAGGTCATCTGCCGACACATCTCTGTTAACCTCAGTTTTATGGTCCCGTCTTTATTCTGCTTTGGTAAGTCCCAAACATTTATGTTCTTGTTTGTTTTCCAAACTGATGTCACGGTGTCAGCAGCAAACCCCCTTTTGTGGAACATCTTTGGTCCCTGTGATACAAGTCAGGAGGAAACTGAAATAGGTGTCTCTTGCACTGAACTGTGAGTTCAGAGATTTTCTGCAAGTCTCCCTAGTAGGGTGGAAGAAGGATTTGGCACATGGACATATAGACAGCCTTGATGTCTGATGGGCTGGAAAAAGCTGTCTACCTCTATACTTTCAGCTTCTCACTGGCCAGATGCCCTGAAAGCCCTGCTCCGGGTGGGATGCACATCACAGATGGGAGTTGCAGTAGGTCCATGCCAACAGTCGGCATTAACGGCCTCAGCAGTCCCTCTGGAGCTGGAGGAACAGGCGTTGGAGCGTGTGCTCTCCGTGCACCCCAACCATTGGGTGCCAGTCCCGGGACTGGTGCCCCGTGGTGTTGGCAGGAACCACGGTCTGTGGAGAGCAGCCAGTCAATTCTCCCCTTGCCTGTCCACAAGCCCACAAACACTTTTGTCTTTTATTTGCCCATTGCATCAGCAGAATGCACCATTGTTTCCATATGTTGGTGAGAGTATATAAATGCTGCCAAAATGTTTTATTTTCAAATAAAATGAAAATGGGGAAGGACTTGCTGGCCATTGCCTTCGGCAGGGATATGGCCCTGAGGGTTTTGCTTGAGGTCAGCACAGAGTTATGGTTCAGAAGTAAAAGTTCTACATTTTCAGGATCTGCTATTGACAAATAATCGCCTTCTCTATTCCCTGTTTATAAACAGGCGGTTGTGGTTTAATGTTGCGTGTGTGCAGAGAAGGAAACGTTGACCGAATCCTGACCCCAGGATGGCTCAGGTCACCTGCAGAACCCACATGACAAGGACTTTGAAGGGTTTTCAAAGTCTTTACAATTTAAACCATGTGTCTGAAACTGGCTCTGTGCTGTAGAGGTTAAATATGTAGAGGTGATGCTGGTAGGTGAGAGCCGAGTGCTGGCTGGTACCTGCCTCTCCAATGAATTTACAAAAGCTTCTGCCTTTTGCCTCCTTTTTCATTCTCCATCTGGAAGGTCTGTGTATTTCACCCCAGAACTGTGCGTGTCATCCTGCTGCTGCAATGAGGTGATGTGGTTTATTGAAAATAGGTAATGTTCACATTTTAATGTGTTGGAGTTTTCTTTCAAACAACCTTCATTGTGTGGTTGAAATGTTAAAATAATTGATATACTGATAAAACACCTCTAAAAGCTCATAATATTAAAATGCTGAGATTTCACTGCTGTATTCAAATAGGAGGTAAATTCCTGCTCTATGCAGTTTTATATATATATATTCATGATCGATAATTCACACCTTGCATAGCTCTCAATGTCATTATTTCATATGAAATGAAAAAAACCTTGTTTTAAACATTTTGCCCTGGAGTTTTACCTTGGCAGAAGCAAAATGTAAAATAATGCAGCCGTGGAGGGGAGGGTCAAATTGCCGTACATATTAAAAGAGGAGCTTTTGATCAGCTCCTTCAAGGGTCTGGTATGACTCCATTTATCTGAAGATCTCAGGGGACACTCCAGACCTCCAGATAACTGGGGGCTTAGTTAATCAGGGCCGCCAGCTGTCCAGCTTCTCGCTGGGGTAGGGTTCAAGATCACAACCCATCCTCTGCAGCCCCGGCTGCAGCAGCGGATTTGTGTCCCTGCAGCCCTCGAGCCCCGAGGCTGCTCTAGGAAAGCTGCACTTGGGCTTCCCTCATGGTCTTGCTCAGTCCAGAGCACTGTCCTGAGCTGGGATGGGGTTTGCTGATCCACGGGTTGCATTTTTAAACCAGCAATTTATGTGGCACTCCATCTAAATGCAGCTCAGTGTTCAGGGCACCTGCGTGTCAGGTGGCTGCGCCCAAAGCTCGCAGGAGCCGGCACACCAAGTTCAGGTTCGGAAGAGTCAGCTGGGCCGGCTCGTGGGCTGGAGGCACAGCAGGTTTGTGTGGTGCAGCTCTGACAGAAGTATTGCTCCAGGGATTACTGGGACGGACACGTTCCTGCAGAGGGACAAACAGGAAACTTCTTGAGACTTTTTTTAACAAGATGTAGGTGTTGTTCAGAGGGTTCTTTACAACTTGTTCATGTACATTCTTAAACTTCAGTTCTTTGGCTTTTTATTATAGTGAATCCCAACTTTTCTCCCCAGTCTGTACTGAAACAGAGATGACAGGGAGTTTAGTTTCGTTTTCCTGCAGCCACTCAATTCTTTTTTGATTAAACTCTAAGTAAAAATGAGCACAAGCATCGTGCTGACTGCCCACATGGCAGGAGTCACTGTGCTGCCTCTTGCTCCAGGGAACCCGGGAGGGACACGGGGAGCACAGAGCCGAGGGGGAGCTGGAGAGTGGAGCCAGTGTGTGCAGCACTCGGCCTCCCCAGGGCCCGCCGCTTTTGGCTTTTTAATCTGCAAGGGGGGCGCTGAATTGGGATCTTCCTCACGCGCCTCCAAAGCCACTGTGGATCCGCACGGCTCTCCGGACCTTGGCATCAGCATGGCACAGTGTGTTGTTCCTCAGCTGCCTCTCCTGGAGCTGCCCAGCTGTTTGGCCCAGGGTTTTTCCCAGTCTTTTGTGTGGCGAGGAGCACCGTCCAGCTCATCGATAGGCGTTTACAGGGTGCAGCAAACCTGGTCAGCGTGTCCTCGCTGTGTTTTTGCGTGTAGCACTTACCGAAGCGGCACAGCCTGTGGTGAGCTCGCAGCGGCTGCGTGTGCTGATGTGTGAGATGTGCGGGGCCGTTCATTACGCAGCAGGGCATTATCAGGCAGAGCGTGAAAGGCCTTTGCCGTCCCCCCCGCCTGGTTTGAAGCGGCCCACGCGCGGCCCCGACCGTGAATCGAGAGCTGCCGGCCGGCCTGCAGGCTCAGGTGGTCGTCAGCCCCCAGTGTCGCTGAGCCCTTTCAGCAATTTGTCACGCCTGGGTCTGCTCCCGCTGCGCCAGCACGTGCCAGCTCCGTGTCGGAGGGGCTGTTGGCCAGACGGCCGCGCAGCCCCCGCATCCCGCTGTTCCCGCTGTTCCCGGCCGGTGCTGCCCGGCCGCGCTCAGCTCGGCCCTGGCAACAGCCGAGCGCCGAGGAATCAGCATCTCCATAATGGGAAGTGAATGGCATCCGTCAGTCCCTTTAGAATAGGGCCCAGGCGTGTGCCTCCTCTCCGAGGAAGTTTGGCAGCCTATTCATTAACAAGAGTCATCAGGAGTTCAGCCCATAATGGGGAGGCAGCCCCGCACGCTGCGGGCTGGCGCTGGCGCTGTCAGGAATGTGTTCTCCCGGGCTTCGGGGAAGGGAGGAAAACTGAGCAAATAACGCTGTCAGCAGGTGCAAACGCTGAAATGCTGGCTATTGATTTTCTTTCTCCAGGCTTCCACGGGAAGTTTATAAGAAGATTTATCACATATCAATCGTCCTCTGCAAGCGTTAAAAGCAAAATTCTTCTTTTCTTTCTCTTTCTTTTGTTGCCACCATGCCTGCAGGAACTCGCATGCAGTGAAGACGCACTTTGCTTATTCCCCTCAAGGTCGACACTAGACCATCATCTCCTGGTTTTAAGCACCGCTTTACTCTGATTTTTTTTTTTTAAATACTGTTTCAGAGTGGTTTTGTTAATGTACTGCAAGTTACAAATGGCACTTCAATATTAATTAGTAATGCTTTTCAATTCTAAATACCCTCACCTGCATTCTGTTGTCACTGGTGTTATTCTCCCGCTCCTAATTTCTAAATTCAGCTTGGCCTTTGCTCCCACTGAACAGCCTTGCAGAGCTCGAGTGCATTTCCCCATAACAGAAGCACAATGAGGCGCTGAAAACTTTTGTTTTCACTGAGGAAACGGAGAATGAGATGTCATCCTGGCTCCTGCGAGCCCTAATTCATAAAGTCATACGTGAGGCTCTCCAGCCCATTGTAGATTTGTCCCAAGCGTTATCCTGTTATTGGAAGTGTATGATTCACCTTCTGAGCAGACAGAAGCTGCACACAAAAGGGGAAGATTTGCTTTCTCTGCTGTGAAAGGCTGCTGCAAGCAGGGGTCCTATTAAGACAGCTGGAAAGTTGCTTCAGCTTGTTACGCTTGTAAGTTTTATTGGTGACTGGTTTTTGATTACACATTTGAATGCTGTGTGTTCCAGGTTGCCGAGTTTTAATTAAAAGGCAATAGTCTCCATGTTAGCTCGCTTTGTTGTCTGCATTATGCAGGCCATAATGCATGCAAGTTGTGGGCTGGGTTTGTCCGATGTCCATCGTTTCTTTGGGATACATAAGGTTGCACCTTCCAGCACCTGCCCTAAATACAACTGTCACGCTTTCAGAATTGTGTTTATTGTGGTTAATTTCTTTTGAGAAGTCCAGTGATCAAATGAATGTGGGGGGGAGGGGTTGATCCCCTCTGTCCCATAGCTTGTTTCTCCAGTCTAGTCACTTTTCTAGTCATTGGAACAGGAATATTGTGTGCCAGGAGCTTCCCATGGTGCCACAGCCCGTCTGTGACGGCGGGTTCTGGTTTTGGAAAGCTGTGGTCTTGGGGTTTGCTCCTGCCCTCGGCAGCTCCCAAGTCACTGTTTCTCAGTCACGAAGCTCAAAGGTGTTACCCTGAATTTCCAGCCCTGAAGGGTGTCCTCTCCTCACTGCTCCCCTTCAGAACTGGTGAGCAGTTCTGGTCCCCCCCGGTCCCCACCCATTGCAGCCTGGTCAGTGTGGATGTGGGGCTGAGGGGCTGGTGCTCGGGGACACTGTGGGACAACCTGGAGTTCTGCACACACATTTCCTTAACGGGGCCGTCGCAGCTACGAGGAGAGAGCTCTGTACCTCGAAGCCATCATCCAGAACCACAAAGAGGTGATGACGTTTGAGGATTTTGCCGCTCAGGTCTTTTCTCCCTCTCCCAGCTACTCCCTCGGTGGAACTGGTGAGTCTCTGCACGTTATTCTTCTCTGTAGCCCCAAGAAGCACTTGAGCAGCAGATGTACACCTGTTTTTTGTAGATAAATGCTTGCAAATTTAAGAAGACCATTCTTCCCCTGAATCAACTAATGAATATCAAAAGGAATGATGACATTCATTTTAATTTGTTTTGCATCAGAGCTATTCAGTCTGTTCCTTTCTTCAGCTATCCTGTTAACCCCCGACTCCGGCGAGGTTAATGAACTTTCTCGCAGCGATGGGCTCCAGCTCATTCAGGACTCCGGGTTCTTGCTGAGCTGGGAATATGTTGTTCAAAAGCGAGGCCTGAATTGGGGCTCACTTATCAAAAATAGTTCCTCGCAGGGGAAGCTGCTGCTAATGCTAAATGGGGATTATGCTGCTGAGCTACCAGGGTCAGGGATTAATGCACAAGAAACGCAGGAACGGGGTGCTGTTAGGGAATCACAGCGGCGGGCGGGACGCGGGCGCTTCCCTTCAATGCAGACAAGCACATTGCAGGCTGCCCTCCAGCACCTGGCCTGGAGCCTCTTTGGGGGCTGTAATGGATGTGTGGATATATGTGGGGGGTGGGGGTGTGTGCATGTGTACACACACATCAACGCTCATCATTCATCAGCCCTCCTGAGAGGTGACAACACAGTGCCAAACCCCGGGCATTTATTCCTTTAGGTTACTGTGTGGTCAGTGAGGTACAAATCGCTGCCTGGCTGGTTCGGTTGAGTTTAAGTGAACCTCTTCTGAAAGGGATCTTTTGCTCTGAAAAGCAGATTTCTAGTGCTCTCAAGATGTGTTTTTTCCAGCCTCCAGAAAGTATCTCGTCACCGTGTGCTGGACTCTCTAACAAAGATTCCTTAATCCATTGTTGACACTCATGGGGTGACACTGGCACTTTCTAATCATTCCCTGCTTCTCTTTTGGATTGCTGAATAGATTATTTCCAACCTGTACAAACGTTGCAGGACATCTGCTCTATTTCTCTTTAGCCCGACTTGTTAGCAGATATCTTCCATCTAAACTGAAACATTGAAGGAAGAAATTAAATTTGCTAGAATAAATCACTTAGGAATAAAACCAGCCATGCAGCATTGTCTAGCGTTCCTGGCTCCGATCCTGGCGCGCTCGGAGCTTTGTGAGGAGATAAGAGGCCTGTGCGGACTGGGCAGTGGTGGCCAGGAGCAGCAGGCAGAAGGCTTTGGAGATAAGCGCTGGCAGGAGGGGAGGGAGTCGGGCCCATTTACATAATCGCGCCTCTGCGTCCTGGAGAGGCGTCAGGGAACACGGGATGGATCTATTGATCTCTGCTGAACTGGAATACTAAACAACACTAGGAAAGCTTATAACTTAAAGCTTTGATTAATGTTTCCTACATTAAAAAGTAGAACAGCTGTGCATTAAATTCTTTTATACACTCTGCCAAAAGTCTGAGACAAAAAAATTGCCCGTTTCAATAGGAGTGCAGCGCGTGCCCAGGGTTGGTTGTTAGCATTTGAATCGTTTATCTGTTGACATATCAGCAAATAGAAATGTAGATATATTGATGTGTTTTAAATGTTTTGCTCTGTACATAACTGTGTCTCGTTCTCATGTTTTTTAGAGCACGCAGTGCTCTGGTTGTGTACAAATGTGGTCCGGCAGGGCAGATCCCTTGGCAGTGCCGCTCTTGGAAGGCTGGGATATGCTGGGATATGCCAAACCTGGTTAAAGTGTTTCCCAGTAGCTGAGGTTTTCAGAACACTGTTAAATCATGAGTACCCTGGATGTGGTTTTATAATTTCATTATTTTAATTGCTTTTAATTGTAAAACCTGCCCCAGTCAGGTCCCAGTTTTTGGACTTCTGAGCCTCAGAATTAATTTTTCACTCATGAACTGGAGGCTGGCCATGACTTCTGGTGTCAGAATTCTCTGCTTCAGAGAGTCTCCTCATGTTACCTACTGATTCACCTACATATGTAGTCAGTGATGAGCAAGGACAGTGTCAGCCGTGGCCATTGGGATGTGTTTTCCATCAGATGCTCCCTGGCAGCTCGGGAGCTGTTCCCCAGCATGCAGCCTGTGCCATAGGCAGGCAGTCCTGCTCCAGGCATAGACCCACCTGCCTTACACCTGCAGGAATCACCTGTCTGCTGCTTAGGAACACGGATGGCATTTTTCTCCATGTAAAAAGGAATTGCTATTCTGAAACAGAAAAAATGAATCAGGGAGCAATAAATGAAAAACAAATTTTCCCTGAGAAAGTAGTCAGGCACTGGCACAGGCTGCCCATGAAGGTGCTGGAGTCACTGCCTCTAAAAGTGTTCAGGAGGTGTCTGAATGTGGCACTTGGGGACGTGGTTTAGGGGTGATGATGGTGGTGCTGAGTTGATGGCTGGATTAGATGATCTTGAAGATCTCTCCCAGCCTTGATGATTCTGTGGGATTCATGGAGCTGGCACAGGTGACAAGCCAGCTGGTGCTGCTAACCCTACCGAGTATAAACTCCTCAGGTAAATTTAAGATTAATTCTCATCTGATCTGAGCAGAAAGGTCAAGGAGCAAGTGTGCTTTTTATTAAAATGAAGCTTGTTCTCATTAGTTATAAGAAGAAATCAGGACCATTAAATGAATTGAAGACATAGCTCTCACTGACACACATCACTGGGGTGTTGCTAACCATGATCTAATGATTTGAACTTTGTGTTTTTGCATTTTCTGATGCTGCCCCGTGGGATGCATCCCCCAGACTCGGGTGGGATGTGTGTTTCCTGCCCTGGCTTAGTCTCTTTGTCACCAGCAGTCTTGCAGGTGCTGCATTTTCTGCACGAAAATCATCCAGTTCATCTCTTTGCTGTTTCCACGCACAGAGCCTTAAACTTCCCTCACGGATCACAGGTAGCCCTGGCTGTCTGCAGTGCTGAAGGATCACAGGTAGCCCTGGCTGTCTGCAGTGCTGAAAGCGCAGCCGGGTAGGCAGAATGGCCATCCCTGAACTCATTTAGGGGATGTGCAGATTAGGAACAAAAGCTGGGAATACGGCCCTTTGTTGTTAAACTGGTGCATTACATGCTGTATTTTAATTAGGCTGGGTCTGAGAGGCAGCCCAGGAAATCCTCCATAATCCAACACTATTGAATTATTCTCATCCTTTCCCTCTGCAGATTTCTCTCCTTTTAGAGGACGGGCTTTATGCTGCTGTTCTTGCTCCCTCAGCCAAACCCAGAAACAGTTACTCAACAAAACAGTTGTGTGTTCTTTAACAAACTGGTGAAGCTGAAGCGGGCACACACAGACAGAGCAGCACCCTGACTTTGCCTCTGTGGCTCAGAGGGCTGCCTTGGGCTTTGGGGCTTTTTTGGTGTAAGATCAGCAGTCAGAAGCATGGTGTTATCCCTTAGGAAGTGGAAGTGGGTCAGGTATTCAGGGTATCTAGTGAAAGCTTGCCCACCTCAGGAGGATTGTGTAAAGAGTCTGTACTCGGAGGGCAGGTTTGTGTTTGAAGGGAACCCCGGAGCTGCAGTGCTGCCGTTGGCACTCCAAGGGTTAATGGGAACGGGCACACTTGACTGCTGAGAGGACTGATCTAATCACTGCCATATCCAAGTGCATCTGTTCACCATGAGGTCATTCTTGTGCATGCTAATGACTTGGAAAATAAAGCACAATGCTCAACGTTATCAGGGAGGATATAGTGTAAATCTTGGCTTTTTTAGTTGTTAATGGGTATTGTGGAATGGGCAGGCAAAGCATCCCGGATTCTTGTGTTCCAGCTTAATGTTTTTAAAGCATCCTTTTCAGTGGAGTGTCAGGAAAACTGTACTGGAAAACTCAGACATGGTATCTGTTGATAAATGGATTCTTTAATGAATATTATGGCATTGCCCAGGAGCAACACTTGAGTTGAGGAACTATAGAGGTTTTCAGCATTCCCTGGTTTTAAAGCCTCGGGAGCCTGCCTGCTGATTTACATAAAACCAAGATTTTGCAGGCTTTTTGTTGTAAAGGTGACACATGCTTTTCTTTTGTCTCCAGACTTTTACATGCATAAAGTTCCTGTAGAAAATACTTGAATGTATAAGGAAGCAGATCTGGTTTATTTTAAACCACTTTTTGCTCAGTACTGAGCTTTATCTTTCCCACTTTAAAGCAAAAGGAATACTTCAATTTGACATCTAGGTTTAAAATGTATTTTTGACAGAAACAAAACCAAACCCAGAGTAACTATTGCGCTAACCAGACTGATGCTCTTTGTAATGATGAGCCAGGATTCCTTTTGCTTTGGTGTGGTTTTTCTGGTTTTGTTTTTTACTTAATTGGGGTTTCTTTTGCTTTTATCTTTTTCCTTGGAAAAGGGTGTTTTGTCAGATCTGTGTAGAGGTGGAACAAAAGTCTCTCCAGGTTCTGTATATTAAATATTTCTGCCTTTTTCGGGGGAGTAGTAAAAAAATACTCAAAAGTGAATAGCTGTGCCACGATACCACAGCACGTTCGGCATTTACCAGGGGTCAAGTTTGATCCATGTGTCAGTGTTGCCTGAAACTGAACAGTTAATTTCTAGTAACTGGGACTTAGGAAATTCCTGACTGTCCTGGCTCCTCAGAGCCACAGCTCAGCTGCTGCCTCCAGGAGAGGAGGCAGCACTGGCACTGTCTGGCAGTGGCAGCTGTGGGCTCCAACCTCCACCCAACCCTCCCTGGTCCAGGATGGGTCCCTCCGATGTGGGAGCAAGGACAGGGAATTGAGTCGTATGAGCCCGTGCTCAGCAGGTGAGATGGAACTCGGGTAGCTACCGGTGCTGCCGTGGTTGTCCAGGCAGTGAACAAAGAGGAAAAGCTGAGGGAGGTGGAGCAGAGGAGCCAGAAGAGTTACCACAGGAGGCAGGATTCGGCTGTCTCTTCTCCTCCTTCCCCGGGAGTACTCGGGAGGAAGCACAGGACCTGTGTGGCTTTCCCTCTCTGTTTAATCCCGGTAGTTCCACATCCTGAGCAGACTGGAGCCTCTGTCCCAGCTGCTGCTCGGCTGCCCTCAGGGGCTCCTGGGGCAGCACCAGCAGATTTGGGAGCTGCTCCTTGCCCCTGTGCTCTCTGTTATCAGTGTTCCACGTGTGGCTTTCCTGCCCTCATCCACAGAGCTGCCACCGTAGTGTCCCTCTGAGGGGCAGGAATGGCATTAAACAGAGCAGTGTCACAGCTACCACAAATTGTTGGGGCAGCAGCTCTGTTCCCCTGTAGCTCCTGTGGCTGAACAGGCCTGGCTCCAGAGGGTCTGGATCCCTGCAGAGCCCTAGGGAAGTTGCATCCTTCCTTTGCGGGCCCCTGCAAAGGAACAGCCGTCTACTCTGGGCACAGGGGTCGTTTTCCCTGTGCCCTGCACCGACCTGTCCCTGAGGCTGGGCAGGTGCTGGGGCTGCTTCTCCCTCAAGCCCTCGGGATCTCCAGCAGGGAAGGGGCACATTAGGGCTCTCAGCCTGGGCCCCTGCCTTTTCCATGTAATTGATTGGCTCAGAGGGAGCTCCCCCAGCTATGATCTCTGGGAGAGGAGGCAGAGAGAGAGGGTTTCTCCAAGCAATCAGTGCTGGGATGGCAGAAAATATGAGCTTGACAGGCCCGTCTCTCCTGCCGGGTGACAGCTCCAGCTGCTCGAGCTGTCAGCTCGGAGAAGGCTCCAGGCAATGTGGCCCCTTTGCATTTTCCCTCTGCACTGAGGCACCGGCTCTGTGGCCACGGAGAGCGGGAGCAGAGCTGTGGCCACGGGCCGGGGGCTTGGGCTGCTCCACCTGTGACACCCACAAAACCCCCATCGTTTTCTGGGCTCCCCCTGGCTGAGGTTGAGGCCAACCGTGCAGAACTAATTAACGGCTGCTCCGAGTCCTGACTAATTAGACTTCGATGTGTACATTTAGGGTTTATTTCCAAATCCCTCAAACCATCAAGGCTGGGCCTGTGACCGTGCCAGCCACTCCCTCCTGGAAACTGTGAGTGCTATTTTAGGGGTGGTTCTACCCCTGATTAACTTGTAGTTTGAGATCTCTTACTGCTTAAAGCTTTCCAAGACACTGCAGGACATGTTTGATTAACACAGCCACGGCTTGAGTTATCGATGATTTCTTCCACACAGGCTCAGGATGCTGCTTACAGTGTACTTTGAGCCTGTCCTTGGAAGTGGGAAGCAGGAACACTGGGCAGATTTACTACAGTGATTCTCTCTGGAATTTTCTGACCTTCACATTTACTGGGAAGGAAAACAAAGATTTCCACAGCCCTGTCCTGGCTGACAGGTTAATGGGGGGCTGGAACAGGTCACAGCCCATGTGAAAACTTCATGGGTCTTTTTAAAGACAAGGCTTCAGGATCCTTACAGGTCATGGAGACCCACCGTTGCTTTCAGGGGTGTTCAGCTACTTCAGGAGGAGAGAAATGGCTGAAAGGTCATTCCTAGAGCACCTGCCCTGGCAGGGCGGGGCATGAGAAATGAGGTTTGTTCTCTCTGGTGGATTTGAGGTGCAATAAGCCATCTTTCTCTCTCTAGCTTCCCACAAGACAATTTCATCTAAAGTGTGGTTTTATCTGTATTCCTAACTCCATTTCTAATCCCCTCCTGCAAGGAACTTACTTTAAAAGTTTAAACCTCTCTCACCAGGCGTCACCTGTAAGAGGCCCTGTGGGATCCCTACACTGCTCATTTCCTGGGGTTTTAACCTGCCTGCAGTGTCCCAGTGGTTTAGGTCTCTGTGAAGCCTCCAATCTTGCACAGTTTGAAATGGTGTGACCAGCAGCGGTGCTGGAGGCAGAGCCGATGCAGCTGCACCCACCGTCCCATGGCAGCTCGTTTGGCAAAAGCTCGTTTGCAATGATTATTCATTCTCATTTTTGCCAGCATTCCCTCCCTTGACCGTTTCAATGCACAGACCCGAGAAGGAAGCGTGCGGGTCCCTGTTTCTCCAGGTCCCTGAGGGTTGAGGGGAACTCTCCTTCCTGCGCTGCCCTTCCCGCTGGTGCCCGGCACGTGCCAGGGTCTGCTGTGCCAGGCTGATGTTGGCCCAGTGGGTCACGGGTGTGCCGGTCCTGCACTGACACCGTTTTGTGTTCTCTCCCTTCAGATTAGAGTGTGTAACGCTCTCGTTACGGTAATGGCCGCAGGTAAGAGCGACGCTTCCCGCAGGCCCCTCTGCTGCTGCCGCTGTGCTTCACCTCTGACAGCTCTCCTCCTCTTCCTCCTCTTCCTCCTCCTCCTCCTCCTCCTCCTCTGCTCAGTGTGTGGCCATGGTGGCTCTGGAGCCCTCCGGGTCTGTCTCTGGCTGTCCCTGTCCCCTCTGGCTCTGCTGGCCCAGCGGCTGCTGCTGGGCACGGGGACATGGGCACTGAGGGAAGGGTCTGTCTCTGTGTGTGTGACCAGGGATGGGACAGCCACGGGCACTGAGCCAGGAGCCACGCTGGCCACTGTCCCCAGTGCCCACGGAGCTGTGTGGGGCTGCTCCTGCCACCGTGCTCAGCCGTGCGATGGGCAGAGAGCAGCTGCTGGGCAGCCTTTTTCCCTCTTTGTAAATTCCACTTGTTTGGATGAGTTCTGAATTTTAAGAGCTCCACTGGTCCATGAGAGTCAGAAACTGGTGTTCGTGATTTCCTTATCATTTACTGTTTTTTATTTACAAGCTGCTGTTTGGTTTTCACTGCTGGTAGTTTCACATTGCCCAGGCACAGTCCCAGACAAACAACAGTGAGGGAGCAAACACCCTCCTCCATAGCACAAGAGCATCCCAACCCCAACCCACCTCTGACCACGGGCACAGCCTCCTCTCCGACTCCGCAGGCTCCCCTGGCAAGACGGCCAAGTCATCAGAGCCTGTGCCAGACAGCTTGCGAGGGGAATTAGAATGCTGTATGGGAGCCTTTCTCCAGGGCGGTTGTCGCTCGCTCACTGCGCAGCTGCCACCTCCCCATCAATCACAGCGCTTTCAGGGAGCTACAAGGTGGGCTGCGGAGCTCGGGACATGCCAGAAGAAAGCTGGGACTGTCGGAATGCTCCGGCTCCAAGGTGGAGGTGCTGTGGGTGCTCCTGGCCTAGGTGTGTCTGGCCACAGCTCCACCTGCCCCTTGTCACAGGCACCAGCCATGCATTGTTCAGCTCTCACACGAGCGTTGCTTCAGCTCGTCCATTTGGGGAAAACCATACTATTTTGACCATCTGCCATTCTGCCTCACTGCAGGAATGTCAAGTACAACACCTCCCTCGCAGCCCTTCCCTCCCCCACGCTTTTCTCCCCGGCCAACAGCACCACAGGTTTTGGTTTTAATCCAAAACTGACAGCTCCGAATTTTTCACAGAGAATGCCTTTACAGGCTAAGTCACATTTTCCACCTTTTTAAAATGTGCTATTTCCCCTCAGTCAGTTGTGTTGAAGTACCAGTCTGGTAAGTAATGGCTGTCTTTGAGATGCAGACGGGGGGCAGCAGGCTGGCTGAGGGGGCTCACACATCGGCTTTGGCTGCTGCTGTTCCACTCCTGCTTTGAGTCACTCAAATACCCAGAGCCGCTGAAGCAGAGCAGGTCACCCCTTGTGTTGAAAGTGCAGCAGAGCCCACGGGGGCCTTTGTCCTGGGACAGGGGCAGGGCTCATCCTGCCACCACACTGACCCACAGCCACATCCCCACCTGTCCAGGAGGGCAAGGCTTGCCTTGCTCACCTGTGCCTGAGGGGCAGCTCAGCCAAGGCCTGCCTGGGCTTTGGGGTGTTTTGTGCACGTCTGGGAGTCACCCGGGCTAGGAGAGGTGAAGGGAGGATTAAAGAGCCCTGGACTGGCCAGGCACGGGAACTAACAGCAAATAAAGGCACAGGCAGAGAACAGAGCCAGGTGTTGAACTGGAAATAGGTCTGTGCTGCCAAACACAACCATCCCTCTGGAGTTCAGAGGGAGTGGCACCGGCACTGGCCTTCAGTGTGGGCTTAGAGCCTCCCTCCGCTCTCCTCACCTGGCTGCAAGGCTGTTCTTCCCTCCCACCTGGAGGAAAAAACTTGTGTTTACACTTAGGGAGAGAATTGCAACAGGGTTTAAAAATACTGTTCCCCAAGGGAGCTGATGAAATGGTGTTCCCCTAGGAAGCACTTTGGGACAGGTCAGACCCCCAGCAGCAGGAGCAGGGCAGGGTGTGTCCCTGAGAGCAGCTGCACCTCGCTTTGGTCGTTTGTGTCTCACTGAAAGGCTCTGTGTTCACCTGTTCCCCCTCAGCCAGCCTGAGCCTCGGGTTGTACTGGCCTGTGGGGAATAACTGAGGTGGAACTCCAGGATGTGGAACAATGAAGTGTAACCCCTGGTACCCCCAGGCTCCCAGACATCCTTCTAGGGTGAGCCACCAGTAATGAGGGTACCTGGTGTCCTGTCACGTAGCGGAATCAGAAGAAATTGTGATTCTTTAGGATTTTTTTATCAGAGACACCAGACATCTTCCAGGGAGTTTTGTGCAACTCCTCACGCTGGGGAAGCTCATTTCCAGCTCTCTGTAACAGACTGAATATACAAGAGCTGCTTAGTGACACACAGCAAAGAACAGTTTTATATAACCCACACAGAACTGTTGTATGTGGGTTTGTTGGAGCATCAAGTGAGCAGGATGGGAGGATCCTCCCCCTACGCCATGGGGCTGCCGCAGCACTGGGAGCCATCTGGAGCTGTGCAGACCCAAAGGTGCTGATGCCCGGGGCCTCGGTGCTCACCTGGGCACTGTGGCCTCTCCCAGCCTGGCTGCTCCTCACCTGTGGGAGCCGGCAAAGAGAAATCCCTGATTTCTCCAGGAAGTGCAGTATATCACAGTTCCTCAGGTGCCTGACCAAATTCCTCCTGTACGTGTCAGGTTCACCTGAGCGATGCCCAGGAGTAACTGGGAAGAGGGGAGGGGCTGTGCCATGTGGTTATTCCAAGGCACACAGGCTGTTTTGTCCTGAGCTGTTTTTTCCCTGCCCGCTCTGTTTTCCAGGCTGCCTCACCACAAGTGCAAGCGCTGACCTCACTGTTACCATCGGCATCGAGCTGGCGGAGCCGCCCTCGCCCACGCTGCCACGTGCCTCCAGGAGCAGAGTCTCCGGGAAGCTCCGTCGCTCCACCAGCGCTCTCAGCAAGGCTTCCAGCTGAGCTCTGGGACACAGAGCCCCGGCCAGAGGAGCGACAGAACGGGCGGTTTGGGGGGAGCTCGTCTGGAAGGGGACAGACGAGGGCTTTGCTCTCCCAGTCCTCGGTTCCCCGACTGGGACAGACGTGGCCGGTGATCAGGTGTCACCTGTGTTACCATCAGCGTGGCACTGTCACCAGCTGAGCGAGGGCCCCAAGCCCCTGGGCACAGATGCTGGCGCCACAACTACAGGTCGTGAACCAGCACTGAAACCAGTTATTCAGTGTACCCTTAGAGCATCGCTTTAGTCATTCCAGGCAGCACTTACCTGTGCATTAGGGAATTCTGTCTAAATAGAGGTTTTCCCATGACTAGCCAGGCAGCACATGTTCTCCTCTGGAGCACGGGTGGATGAGGGAGCAGCTCTCCAGTCCATGCTGTCCCGCTGCAGGAGTGCGATGGCCCCTCCATGGCGTGTGATGGCTGCGCACTGAACCACTCCCTAGAGCAACAAGAATAACCAAATCCCTTTTGGAAGAGCAAAAGCCACACTCCTGCCATGACCCGTCCCCAGCACAGAGTGAAAAACTGGGTAACCCCTCCACCTTGTCCCAGCAGGGCAGCAGGCTGTGACCCATCTCTGGCCAGAGGACAGCACATCTGAAGGCTTTTGAGGACATGCAGTGTCTTCCTGGCACCTGGTGTAGTGAGCAGAGCTCATGTTGTCAGTAGGTGATGTGTTTTGGTCTCCACCTGTTGTAGGTTTCTAGGGGTGACAATTTTTGTAGGTAAATCCCCAGTGTTATAAAAACAACAGAAATCTGAGATCCCACAGCCACGGATCCATATCCTGCTGGTGTTCAGTTGTACTGGACACTCCCATGCACACCTCCCAATGGAATGGGAGTTGCTTTAAGTGAAGGGATTGCATTTTTTGGGAAATGCCCCACTGGGCCCCATTTGTTTTTGCACTTGTACTTGGTGTTCTGTCTGTCTGTCCGTCTGCCAGCCCGGGACCACGCTGTGCACGCAGGACGCTGTTCCAGCCACAGCCGGTGGTGCCGAGGTGGCTCCACGCTCTGCTGTGGGATCTGTGCCCAGGCCCCGGTGCCCCCCGAGCAGGAACCGGAACCAGTGGAGCTGACAGGAACCCCCCCGGCACAGCTGGGGGAAGGAGCCTCCATCACTCAGGGCCTGGATGGCTGGTTTGATTTTCTGCCTCACATTTGGGTTTTGCTTTCTACTGATTTTCTGTTGTTGAACAAACTTAGAAAATAAAAGGTGTATTTTAATTTATTTTACTTTCAGGGCCGGACAGGCAGGGCTGTCTGGCCCTTAGTTATCCAATAGCTGGTCTGAAACAATTTCAAAGGCATCCTTCTGAGTAAGGAGCCATTTCTTGTTAGAGCAATACGCATCTCTAATTCAGGGAGAAATTAAAACACTGATGAAATAGTGTTTTCCTGATGTCAAAAGCATATTAATTTGTATAAACTCAGCTGTGGTTTTGCACCCTGAGGTGGATGACAAAGCCGCTCTGTTACCCCTCACAGATGTAATAAACCTTTGCTCACAATAAATGTCCCCAGAGCAGTAGAAGGCGCGTACCTGGTGGTGTGTGCAGCGGCCGGGCGGGAGGTGCTGGCTCCAGTTCGGCTCTGCCTCCGCTGAGGGGTGGTGGCTCCCGAGCATGCCGGTGCCGTGTGGAGCTGCTGCAGGTGCCGGGGGTGTGCAGGGCCGGCTCACACGGAGCAGGAGCGGTCACTGCGGGACACGGCGCGGTGACGGCGGCACCGGCACACACTCTGCCTGCCTTCCATTGGCGCCGAGGCCGCGGCTGCAGGAGCAGCTGCCCGGTGCGGAAGCAGCAATGGCGTTTCCAGGCTCCAGTGCTCGGGGGGTATTTGTGCCACACCGTGACACAGGCACCAGACACAATGACACCCCACACTTGCCCCACAGGGACCCACGTGGCAGCAGTGCCGTTTTGCCACCCCTGCAGGGTGGGCATCTTCTGCCAGCCCAGCCCTTCCCAGCAGTTGCAGAGCGCAATGACTGACCCTCGGGGACTCCCAGAAGCCACTGTCCCTAACCTGCTTCCCTGCAAGGTCTTGTGGCCCAGCCACTTGCATCAGCATTAAAAACAAGATGTTTCTAACAGTGATTTTCTACTCTATTGGGATATTCCTTAAGGAGATGCAGAGGGCTGCATATCCAGGTCAGAAAAGACACTTGTAACTCTCTGTTCCTTTGCTGAAGGGAGATGACAAAGTTCTCTCCTCAGTTGCTTTCAGGGGCTCTCATCAGAAATAGGGAGTTAATGCAGCCGCCTCCAGATAAGGTTCCCTTTGCAGAAATAACTGCCCTTGGGAACCTGGCTTCCACCCATCTGCTGAGGAGGATCCCTGTCCCAGGCCCAGCACCTCCTGTGGAAATGGAGAGCAGGTGGGAGCTGGACAAGGGGTCACAGTGCTCAGTCAGTGCGCTGGCATCCCTGGGCCGGGTGGTTCCTGTGCACCCCAGGTACAGCCGTGTGGACCCATCCCCTGTCGGCAGGCGGGGCAGGGCGGGCGCGGTGTCGCGGCTCTGGCTGGCACACCCTCGGCACACAGCTCCCCACGGTACACGGGCTGAGCACCCGGCACAGCCCAGCACCGGCACCCACGGGGGCAGGAGGTGCCAGGCCCACAGCGCTGGGTGGGACACAGCCCCCGCCACTGCCACGGGCGCGGGCGGGACAGGAGCGCGCGGCAGAGCCAGCCCGGCACAGCACAGGGCAGGAACAGGGGGCCAAGGCACCCCCAGCCCCACCACCTGCGGCAGCAGGCACAAAAATGACATTAATAATAATTAATTATTAAAATAAAGTTAAATAATATATAACTAGTTTATGCTTACCGTGGAATCACAGAATGGTTTGGGACCATCCCTGGTATCTCGTGTAGCTATATGTACATATCACTGTATAAGCCGGAACATTACTATACGAACTATAACACGTGTGCCTATATATGTACATTCTAAATAACAGCACACTGCATAATTGTGTCATTCACATCAGCAACCTATAAATTCTATATAACATTACATAAAGAACGTGTAATATAATACACGATACAATATTTTGCACATACATAATGTGCATACGGAATATTCAATGCACTGTGTACATACAATAAATAATACTATTTTAGGTCATGTCTGACATGCATGTATAGTGCACATGCCAGGTGTGCATATGTGTGTGCACCTGCACAGCTGCAGTGCACTGTGCAGTGCACTCTGTCCTCCACAGCACACAAACCCTGGCTGCAGAGCTGAGAAAACAGTCTGTAAGACAGCGGTGTTTCATTACATCACTAATGGCAATGTATCAATAATCATCTATAATGCATATATGTTATTATATGCTGGACATAATGTTTTCTAATATGCATTGTCTGATAGACAACATAAACCAGATATTATATATTAGTATATGTTGTATAATATAATATGCATTGATATGTGTATAATATACACTGTACTACATTTTTTGAAGTATACCTTTCTTAGATTATAGGATATACTGCTATAAAAGGAATATATTGTTTACTTTATCACAGAATCTCTGATTCTGAAGGGACCTTAAAGCCCATCTTGTTCCACTCCCTTACCATGGGCAGGACACCTTCTGCTAGACGTGGTTGCTCCAAGCCCTGTCCAACCTGGCCTGGAACACTTCCATGGATGGGGCAAATGTAAAATATAATGTATGTAATAAATTCTGAATTTCGCCTATGTACATATAACTAAACGAAAACCTCCCAGGTGAGCCCCCCCTGCTGTGCAACATTTTCCTCACATTTGTCTTTGCACTGGTGTTGCAATACAGGCAATTTAGTATGAAAACCTGTGAAATGAGATAATAAAACACCATGGTCCCATACTCTGAGGAAGCAGAACCTGATCTGATCTGCAGCCAAGCAATGCTCCTCCTCTCCCCCAGCCCTGGCCCAGCACCCACTGCAGCACTGGCAGAGCCTTTGCTCTCCTTTAAATCCTCCCTGTCGATCAGCTTCCCCAGTCCCTAAAAAAGACTGACAAGCCCTCGGCCGGGCCGTGGGCTGGTGCAGGAGCTGGGCAGGAACGGGCTGGGCTGTATGTACCCTCACCTTCAGAGCTGCAAGGGAGCTTTATTAGTGCTAAAAAGAGCCATTTTTTTCCCAAGAGGAACGGGGGATTTACCCGGCCCTGGCTGTTGGGAATAACGTCCCAGTTACCGTGTCGGGAGGGCATGTTCCGAGGAGGGGTTGCAGCTCCCCACGCCAGCACCGCCGATGCCACCGTGCCCAGCTCTGCCCGGCTTCGGTCCCTCAGTGCCTGCGCGGAGGAGAAGGGCACAGTCAGAGCAGCCGGCTGTGCCCTGGCCCTGCAGCCCAGCACTTGGACTCACAAACGGTTTGAAAGGACCAAGTCTGGAGGTGCCCGGCGCCGGCATCGCAGGACAGCCTGGCACGTCCATCTCTCTGATTAAGGTATCAAATGTTGCCAGAGCCAGACCTTTGTTATGTGGATTGTAAAATAAATTTAATTAAGACCATTAAAGCCCTGATGAGGCTTTTTATCTGCATGGAAGGATCTGAGGTGTTTAAATGCAATATGCAGGACACAGCAACACGCCCGTGCCTTTCACCCAAGGGGAGCTGCCCAGGGACCTCAGGAAGCTCCTGTCCCATCCAGCCCAAAGCACCCACACACCACAGCACCCCATGGCACCTCAAGGCACCACATGCCCTGCAGCAAATGGGCAGAAACACCTGTGACTCCGTGAGCCATTTCCCAGCTCATTAACAGCGACACGTTTTTTAAACACGTTTATGTCAGGAAGAAGTACGAAGCCCAAGGCAAAAGCCCATCCCTGTCCTGTCTCTGGGCTTGCCCCAACCCCATGGACACCTCCCAACTTCCCACCCAAGAAACAGACCGGGAGCTGCTGGGCAGGAGCCCTCAAAACCTTGGGCTGCGCCCAGCTATGTTTCCCAGGCAGTCCATCCCACAAGGCAGCTGACGGATGCCCCACTGCACTGATGGCTGCGAGGGACTGTAGTGTTGGTACCAAAAATTGCTAAAAACCTACAGGAGACAAGCAGCCTAGAGAGGCTCCTCCCCTGCAGGTGAGAGAAGCTCACCCCAGCTTCTCACCAGCTCCATGCCCATGGGGCAGGGATGGAGTCCATGCTGCATTTCTCAGGACTCTGCAGGTTTCTGTAATTGATCTCCCTGGCTCCTTTCTGTGTGCTCGCAGTTTGTTCCTGGTGTGCTCGGAGAGGAGGAAGGCTCTGGTGGTTTGTGCACCGGGCAAAGCCCTCTGTCCACGTGCACAGAGTGAGCAACCCACGCACCAGCTGCCTCCACCACGTCACATCTGGGCAAGATGAGTGTTTTCCGTGGTGCCCAAACCTGTTCCTGTTGGAGGCACTGAGAGCCATCAGCAATTGATTTGCTAGCTGACAGCAGGAGGCTTTGTTTGCTCGGCGCTGGCTGCCCGTGCTGCCGGATGGCGAGGACATGGCACCCACCAGGCCACACCTGCATTCCCAGGAGCTGCTGTGAGCAGCGCTGGGTGAGCTCCGGGTTCTGCCACGGCACCGGGCTCCTGGCATAGCCACCGAGCTACAGGTGGGCTTGGGGGGCTCACAGCACAGAGGAGGAGGCAGAGCTGAGCCCACCAGAGGTCCAGTGCTGCGGGCCTGAGCAGTGGGACAGCACAAGGGAGGAGCTGGTGAGGGGTAGGGACAGATCCCTTCCCAAAATACTGCCCAAAGGGGGCTCGTGTGAGCAGGTGGCTTTGTGAGCTGTTGTGGTGGGGCGATGCCCTTCACTATCAGAGTGGCAAGAGACGCAAAATGGGGATGCCAATGGCTCCCTGTAAAACCCCCCGGGCAGTCGGTGCTCACCCTCACAAGGACCCTCTCCAAAAACCCCCCGGGCAGTCGGTGCTCACCCTCACAAAGCCCCAGCAGTGCAGGCAGGGGAGAAAGGCTGCAGAGACAAAGGCTCAGGAGCTCTGCCCAGGCTGCTGCAGCCCAGTGAGCCAAAAGCAAATTCCACAGTTTTTACAGGATGACTGCGAACAGAGCCATTTCTAAAGTACTCCACTGTCACCTCTCCTTACGCCTCCCTAACACAGGAATCTCCACTGATCACGCTTTCCACTGCAATCTTCAGCAGAAGACAACAATACATCATTGCTGCCAATGGCTACCAAGGCAGTTTTACAAACCTGGGGAATTCTTCTGGCCCCAACAATTTTTAACTGATTCTTACAGGGACAGACATGGATTACTTGACTATTAGGAAATGGACACCGGTATGAAGCTGTTGTTTTGTAGCCTGTTGGTGCCACAGGCTTCGAGCATGGATTTCATCAGGAGTACTGCTGTGATGGCATGGATGGAGCTCTGGGGTGAGGATGCACTGGGCATTGCCCTAGAAACAGTGTCCAGTGGCCCGAGAGGATGGCCACGTGTGTTGGCAAAGTCCCCTTGGGGACCGGAGAGCCCAGCCCACGGACAGCTGCGACACCGTCTGCGACAGCCCAGGATCTGGGGCTTTCCAAGGCCAGGGAAGCCAGGAAAAGCAAAACCACACCTCTTGCCAGGCATGTTTTGCTGCCTGTGTCTCTCAGGCCATGGTCTTTTCCAGTATATCGATTCACAGCTAAAACCACAGCTTTGCCGAGGCCTGAAGTCAGCCCTGGCATAACCAAGCTGGTTTCCTAGGAATCAAGACATCAGGAGTGTACCTGCACTGGTGCATTTTAGCCTGACTAAACAAGAAAAAAAAAAATCTTTCTCTGGAAAGACTTTCTTTCTCTACAAGCTTTGCTATATCAAAAAATACCCAGACAATTCCTGGGAAATTTCCCTACGGGAAGCTCCTTTCCCACAGTGAACCAGCCAAGTCTCAGGCAGGAGCCTTTAGGTGAGAGAAGATGGCAGGAACAGGTTGGAAAACTCTTCCCATGAGCCAAAACCTCAAAGGTGTTACCACCCCAGAGACGGAGCAGCCCCAAGGCCCATGCTGAGCCCTTGCAGCAGCTCAGCCCTTAACACACCAGTCTGGGAGCAGGGATTTGCTCGGGGCTGCCAAGCAGATCCACATGCCGTGGAGTTGGCTCCATGGCTTCTCCTGCTGGCAAAGGGAGAGATGGTACAGGTGCACTGCAACAGCTGTCTGTGAGAGGGGTTTCACAGACCCAGCACACACCTTCCCCACTTACACTGATACTACATCACTTTTCACTAAAAAACTTACAAAACTACTTTTTGACCAAAGCCCCGTGATTCCCACATACAGACGCAAGCCCTGAAGAGCTACCTATATATATATGGTTGTTGAAGGATGCTGCAGAAGTGCCACAGCAGGGCCGAGGGACCAGGCAGGAGCAGGCTCCAGCCCTGCCAGGAGGCACACAAACGCTTGGCATTCCGTGTGCCAGACTCCACAGCTCACAGCCAGAGCAGGATTGCCGCCGCGCCACCGAGCCCCTGAACCCCACACCTCAGTGCCGAGCACGCGGGGCAGCCACCCAGCAAACAGCACAGCCCTCCCAGGCAAGGATATCTCCAAGTTCTCCACTCACAGGTGCTGCCCCACCTCGAGTTCTCCCTATAACACCTTCCAGGGAAGGTCCCCAGCAGCAGGGCACAGGGCAGGCTGTGCCCGGTGCCAGCTGTGACAGGGGCAGGGCTGGGGCTCCAGCCCACAGCCAGGGGACCCCTGGCTGAGCAGGGCAGCCTTCCCCTGCACTGGCCACACTGCACCCTGCTCTCCTCCTCCCAGTAATTCCTTTTTAATTAATCTCATCAAACGGTACGGAGCAGGCTGGTGCCTACGGAGGCTCCCTGCCAGCTGCACTGCGGAGCTGGGCCCCAGCCCCCCCGAGCCCCCAGGGCCAGCCCGGCAGGGACAAGCAGGAGGGGTGGGGGCACGCTTGAATTTGAAAATATTTTATTTGAATAGTAAATAATTATACAGTTGAAACAGTTCTATCGAAGCACTCTATAAATAGCTAACAGTTAAGAAAATAATGTGTGTAGAAAAAGAGATTGCATCTAAAAGTAAGAGCTGTTGGTTGCACGGGATAAAATGGTTAAGATCATGTGTTATTCTAGGTATAAAAGTTAAAACCTTTTTAGCAGATCCCTTTAGAAAAAAAGATCTTCTAAAACGCACAGTGAAATGGCAGGCGGGGAGACAAAAAAAGCACATTAGAATATCTGCAATCAAATAATGTCAATCTTCATAATTAATATAAATAAATAACGAATAAATAACATAATTACTCAAACCAACATATACAGATAGTCAACTCATGAGCTACCTTAGTAAGGGCAAAACAAACAGAAACAGAAAGTTGGCATGTCACAGTTAAGGCAGTTTCTACAGCATTTTCTGGAGACCATCAACAGCAGAGTCAAGGCATTTGTGGCTACACTAAAGGAAATGCTCAATTCTCTCGAGCAGTTTGATCTGTTCACATCGATAAAAAACGGAGTGAAAACAACAACAAAAAAAAAAGAATTAAAAAAAAAAGAAAAAGAAAAGAAAAAAAAAAAGAAAAAAAGAAAAAAAGGAGAGACCCCGGGAAGGTAAGTGTAAAGCCAGATTCCAGCAGGTCGCAAGCCATATTAAAGCTAATCGTGTGGCGGCCCCGGGGGAGCGGCGCGGGGCCGGCGGGGAAGGCACGGGCGGCTCAGCAGGCGGGACGCAACGGCACCTGGAGCAGGATGACCTGCCGGTTCTCCGAAGGGTGGCACTTGTTGATGTGCCGGGTGAGGCCAGGCGAGCTGTAGAAGGTGGCCGGGCAGTACTTGCAGGGGAAGACCTGGGCGGCGTGGAGGAGGCGCAGGTGCCGCTCCTGGCTGCTCTTGCTGGGGAAGGTCTCCCCGCAGACGGGGCAGAGGCGGCACTCGGCGGCGGGCGGCTCCTCGGCGGCGGGCTCCGGGGCGGGCGCGGGGGCCGGGGCGGTGTGCCCCAGCAGGTGCTTGCGCAGGTAAGCTTGCCGGCGAAACCGCTTGGCGCAGCGGGGGCACTCGAAGAGCCCCTCCTCGGAGCCAGCCTCCGAGGCTCCGCCGGGGCTCGGCGTGTCCCGCTCGCTGCCGCTGCCGCCGCTCGCCTCTTTCGGCGGCTCCTCCGCCGGGCCCGGGGCCGCGGCCGGTGCCCGGGCCGCTTCGGGGCCACCCTTGGCGGCGGGCGGGCGCGGCTTGTGCCAGCGGCGGTGGGAGGCGAGGTTGGCGGGGCAGGAGAAGACCTTGTCGCACTCAGGGCAGCGGTACTCCACCCGGACGATGCGGGAGCAGCGGTGCTGCGCCAGCGCGAAGGGGTCTCCGTACTCCTCCTTGCAGAGTTGGCAGATGAACTCGCCCAGCGGGCGGGCGCAGCCGCCCCGCGCCTTGGCCGGCGCCTCCACTGGGCCCTCCTTGATGCGCAGCCCCAGCACAGGCGAGGTGGTCACCTCGTCCTCGAAGGTCAGCTTGCGGATCGCCTTCGTCTTCTTGCCCGACGGGGCCTTGTGCCGCCCGGGCTCGGCCGCGCCCGGAGGGCGCTTGTTGGGCGGCGGGCGGCCCGAGACGGGCGGCGCGGCCGGGGCGGGCGGCGCGGGGGCTCCGCCGGGGCCGGGGTGGGCGGCGGGCGGCTCGACGTGGCCGGCGGCGGCCCAGAGCTTGAGCTCGGCCGGGGCGAAGAGGAGCGGGTCCATGGTGCCGGGCACGGCCGGGGCGGGGAAGGACTCGGCCGAGACGGGCGAGCCCAAGCTGAAGCCGCGCTCCAGGTACTTGTCCCTGCTGACGGGCCGCGTGGGGCTGTACAGCGCCTGCACGGCGGCATCGGGCGTCCCGAAGGGCACGGGCGGCGGCGAGTCCCGCGGCGGGGGCGGCGGCGCGGCGGGGCAGGCGGGCGGCGGGGCGGCGCCGGGGGAGCGGCGGGCCGGCGGCGGCCTCGCGGCAGCAGCGCGCCCGGTAGGACACCGGGGTGGGCCGCCGGCTGCGCTTCACCAGGAAGCCCCGGGGCATCTTGGCGCCGGCTCCGGGCCGGCGGTGGCCGCGGCGGAGGCTCCTCGCTCTGCCCGCGGCGCGGCCGCGGCCGCCTTTAAGCGGGTCGGGGCCATTGTTCGGGCCGGCGGCGGCGGCACCGGCCAATCAGCGGCGGCAGCGGCGGCGCGGCCGCACCTGAGCCCGGCCCGGCACACGCCCGGCCCCGCCCCCGCCCGCCCGGCACGCGCGGCCTTTGTGTGCCGCCCCCCGCGCCGCCACCACCACCGACACTGCCACCGCCACCGGCACCGCCTGCCAGCTGGGAACGGCACACAGCGCCGGCCGCGCCCGCAGCGCGCACTGTTCGCGGGGCGGCCGGCACCGCGGTGCGGGGAGCTCGGCGCAGGAGGCGGCGAAAGCGGCGCTCGTGGCGGCGGTGGCACAAGGGGGAGCGGGACTGCCCGCCGGGGGTGCTGCCCGTCTGGGCAGCAGGTGCCCAACGACGGGTCTAAGCGAGCGGGAGGAATCACGAACGGGCCGTCGGCGCCGGGCCGAGTCCGGCAGCTCCGAGAGCGGAATAAGCCCGAGCTGCTGCGGGACCGGGGCGGGAGCGCCGCAGCCCTGGCCCGGCGGTACCCGAACCTGTTACGCGAGACCTGCGGTCCCCGCCGCGCGTTGGGTGCGAAGCGCAGCGGGGGACGTGCGGCGGGTCCCTGCTCCACCCGCTCCCGCACGCCAAAGTCGGTGTCGAAGCAAACACGCCCGGAGCCCCCGAGGATGCGCCCGGGGCCGCGAAGTGCCGGTCCCACGGGCCCGGCCTCGGCAGGTGCAGCCGCCGCGGGGCGACCCCCGGGCCGGGCCCCGCTGCGGTGTCCCTTTGTCCGCGGCCGCGCGGGGTACGCGCGGGGGGCGGGCGCTGCCCCGCAGGTGGCAGGGCCGGGGGCCGCGGCGGGGCCGGGGGCGCGTGCGGGCGGCGCCCCCCCCGCCGGGCCCTTTGTGGGGGGCGCGGGGCACGCGGGCGGCACGCGAGCGAGCGGGGCCCCCCCGCGCGCGCCTTTGTGCGCGGCATTAGCATAAAGCTGCGCGACCTTCCCGGCACAAAGCGAGGGGGCGGGGGGCGCCGGGGGCCGCCGCTCCCGGACACCTCTGGCCGGGCCAGGCCAGGCGGGGGTCGTGGGGCCGCCCCGCCCGCCCGGTGGGACAGGCGTGCGGCGGGGCGGGGCGGGCGGGCGGCCCGCGGAGCATTAGCATACAGCTGCGGGCCCGCGGGCACGCGCCGCCGCCCCCCCGCCGCGCCGGCACACCGAGAACCCCCGCACCGGCAGGGCTGCACACCGAGAGCCCCCACACCACTGGGGCTGCTCACCGAGAACCCCCTCACAGACAGCGCTGCTCACCGAGAGCCCCCACACCACTGGGGCTGCTCACCGAGAACCCCCTCAACACTGGGGCTGCACACCCAGAGCCCCCTCACCAATGGGGCTGCACACCCAGAGGCCCCTCACCGACAGGACTGCACACTGAACACGTGCCTCACACACCTCAGGGCTACACACCGCCCCCCATTCCCCCATTTCTCACCTGCCACCGGCTGGGTCCGCAGGGGTCCGTAGGTGTCGGTCGGGGCGTACATGGGCAGGTGGGCGCGGTGGCGGCGCAGGAAGCGCAGGATGGGCTCCAGCAGGGCGAGCGGGCCGGGGCTGCGCTCAGCGGCAGGGGGCTGCCCGGGCACCTGTAACACAGAGCCATCAGAGGCCGAACTGGGCTCGGGGCACGCACCGGTGACGTGGAGCGTGGCGTTTTGGACCGAAAACGGCCCGAAATCGTGTCGGGGCCCGGATGCAGTGGGCAGTGAGCACAGAGTGGGGCTCGCACAGGTGGCACCGAGCGCACCCTGGGGCCGGTGGTGCTGGACTGTTTGTTCATCCCTCCCTCCCAAGTGACACGATGCAGATGAAAGGGTTGTGTGGAACCGAACCTGCGGGCAGTCCCCCGGCTGTCATGGACATAGGCTGTCCGAGGGGTTTAGCTGAAGGAATTCCCTACCCCATGCTCAATTTACTGTGGCTTTTAACCCAGTCTGCAGCCCCAGCTGCAGCCAGAGAAGCAGGACATTATTCCTGACGGAGGATAAGTGCCTGTTCCGGAAGGTCTGGCGCGGCACGTGTGCCCTCGGCGTGCGGCAGCCTCCAACAGCTGATGGAGGTGCAGACCCCGGCCCTGCCATCTGCCTGTTTGCATCGCCGGAGCCGCGCACGGCGGCACAAACACATGGCTGTGATCCCCGAGGGGTAAACACGCCCTGCGCCAGAGGCCCCTCGAGAGCCCCGCGCAGCGAGGGCAGCCTTGGTGACAGTATCTACACAGGCTCAATGCACCGCCTCTGGCCTTGCCACAACTGGGTTTTCTATGCAGTTATTGCTTCTACCAGCAAACCTTTCTGTAAATGTTACCCCTATTGCATGATACTGATTTCCAGTTTCTCTAGACACTGTAACCAGAAATGTCTTGAGTCCTGTTCACTTAAATTCACAGTTCTTAAATGTCTCTTTCGAAGGAGTGTTCCCTCATTTTTACATTTCATCATTAATTTTTCTGCATGCTTAAGTGAGCTGGAATATGAGCAACCGGAAGCAAAGACAGTCCTTTACTCCATATAGAAATACAGACAGTCCCAAGGCATTTAAGAGAGATTCCATAAGCACAGGGTACCTAATCTGTATCTGGCAATGTGCCCAGAAAGAACACCCAATGAAAACACATAAATGTGATATTTAGTAAATATAGTAAAAATCGCTGCAAAAAAGAATCCAAATAAAAACCAACCCCCCTAATTTGCATTCAGATGCAGATACATCACCTACATTAATGTGAGCAATCCTGACTCACAGAGCTGCTTCCAGTCTGTGCAGGGAGACTGTGCGTGTCAGGACTGCTACCATAAGGACACAGTAAGGCAAGTGAATCCTTAATTTGTAGGGCACCAATTCCCCTCTCTCTGAAGTTGTTCACACTTAGAGCATGCGAAATGCAACTGAAGGATGGCAAAAAAACCACATCAGGCCCCTCCATTCTGAATCTCATTTTCTTTTACAGATGTCTTTCAAGAGAATCTAAATTAAATTGCACCAAGGCACTTTCTGGGTCAGGACAACAGGAAGCAAATTGTTTGGAACCGTTCTGGAAGTGTGCGTGTGGCTGCAGCTGGGACACGGCAGCACAGGTACAGCGTTTGGGTGGGTCACGGGCTCCACAACCTCCCTTCCTCCTGTCACCCTGCCTCCATCAACACTCAGTTCTGTTCGTTTTCTGCACAGTTAAAAACTGTGAGCACGTACTTAAAACTCACGGCTACCGTCAGGAACCGTGGGGGGTTAAACAAAGGCAAAAGCAGCGTGAGCAGGAGGAGGGTAGGCTGGTCCCAGGTAGTGAGGTGGAAACACAGAGATCAGAACTCAAATTCTGTTTGGAATCAGCCAGAAGTTCCTCAGGGGGTGGAGGGGGCAGCTCTGGGGGCTGTTGGACACCTGCCATTAACAGCCACAGAGTGCAGTGGCTTTGCAGTTTGGGCAGGCGAAGTTACAGGCTACTGAGACTTTGTGCCTCTGTCTATGGTGCTAATGCCAAAGCTATAAACAGCATTAGCAAACATTTCAATGTCACCCTTATTCAGGAGATCCACACACCACTGAAAAAGCCAGTTGCTTTCACTCTTTGGGCTACAATGAAAAACCTACCCACGGGCTCAGCTGAAGCAGGTGTAGGATGGGCTGTAGCAAGTTCCTGTTAGGGAACACTACTAAACCCAAGGGGATAGATACACAAGCCAGCCTCCACATTCCACTGTGTAGTTACACTAAATTGCAGGTATAATGCAAAAATGCTGTGAAGGGAAACAAAGTAACTTCCAAGTTCTACTGGCAGATTTGAGAATATGCCCAAACAACAAAACTGAATAATGTGCTGCAGTTGGTGACCTGCCCCCCCCTCCGCGAGGTACACAGTCTGCTCAGGCTTCCCCGAGGAGAGAGCTAAACAGAAACATTAAGCTTCAGGAGAAAGATGGGAGAAGAAACCAAAGTGAACAACACTAACAGATTACCTAAATAATAAAATGCACTCGGCGGTCGTTCTTCTTACCTGTTCTGACATCAGGATTTGGCGCAGTTCCTTCTGGAGATCAATAAACCGATCGTGATAGATAGCCATGGACCAAGGTTCCCTGAAGTAGCTGGGTAGAAAAGAAGAAATTTAGTTATCTTGTGAACCTCTCATTAACCACTAATAAAGTATTTACCTGCTTTTTTGCCTTTATAAATTACAGTTCTGGACCCATCGTGATCGTTTGTTCATAAAACGCCTCCTGTAACAGCATGGTCAATCAATTCTTTTAATGGATGTTCCTGATGTACAGCCAGCTTCAGTAATTACATTTAAAGTGGCTTAATTCAGAGCTGTGGCAAGACCCAGTGAAGAATCCTGATTTTATCAGAATTTAAAAGCCTGAAGACCTGTAAAGAACGGTGTCTCCATTATCTGTCCTCATTTGAGAAAAGCAGATTGCAGGATTAACTGAACTGCTGCATAAACAAATTAAATTTGTGTAGACAATGACACAAATGTTGTTCATCATTAAGGTTTCTGGATTAATAAAAGCCAGAAAAACAGGCCACCACAGCGCTGCAATATGTTCTTTGTGCTACTCTGATGAAGCTAAATTGAACTGATTCTAGGAGGAAGCTCTTGTAACTTTTTCTTTCAGTGACAGCATTTACAAGAGCATTCTTCCATGAAAAAGGAGGGAAAGGATGGAGAGGACATGGCTCCATGTAGAACCTCACGGCTGTAAATATAACCGGAGGCAGCCAGATTGCAAAGCTGTGATTTATTTCTCTTTATAATGAACGATAATTTTTACAGCTCGGGCGAGATGCGCGTGTGTAATTCTTGTTAATGCTCACTGCAGTCAGGAGGTGCCCCGCGCTCATCCCTGTAATGACCAAGCAGATGTTACCGGAGTCACCCAGAAAGTTGGGAGAGGGGGACATTTGCATGGCTGTGTCCAACACTTGTGCCTTTGGAATGGCAGCAGGAGCCTGGCACTGCCCCAGGAGCACACAAATGCTCTCCTGGTCCAGCTGTGTGGTCCCTAAAAGATCATCTGGATAAGGCAACTTAAACAGTGCTACACGAGTTCAATAATTCTGTCTACAGAGATCTGATGTGCAGTTCCCTCTCTGTGGATTTTATCTCCCCCCCCTGCTCTGAACTACACCTCAGCTCTCCTGTGCCATTAAAAGCACTCTGCGTGTCTGGCACAGCTTGGCTGGGTTTTCACGTGCTCGGCCCCTCTCTGTCCCTGCACCCCCTTCCTCTCTGTGTGCCAGGCTGGCTGGGGCTGCCCCTCAGAATCTGCACAGCCTCCAGCACAGCAGGGCTGTCTCCCAGAGGTGTTTTCACAGTATAAATATTTATGGACACTATTCCAAACACAAATGCTGCCCACCCCAGGAGTTACCACCACTCAGCTGCTGGCTCATTCGGATATGCAGGTTAGAAAGGATGAGCTCAGCTTCAAGGATCTTTATTTCAGTAACTGCACACCTGAAATGTGTGCAGAGAGCTAGACAAGAACACAATATCCCTTAAATATCTAAAACCCCTTTAATTTTGGAAGAAAACCCCCATCCAACACAAGCCTTTAACTCACTGTTGATATCAGATAGCAAAGAGAAAGGGGAGTGTTATACAAGAATACATTAAGGTAATTAAAGACTCTATTTTTACTGATATGCCCTGCTAAAAGCCATGTTCCAGTAGCCAAATGTTTTGTCTTCAAGCTGGCATCTTAATTTTAATTGTAACTCTGAGAAGGTGATTTCTCTTTCAATCGAGGCATACCTTCCAACTGCCTTACCTCAGTTAAGGTGCTCACCTGTCTCACTGAGGTGTTGCATTAAATGCTGTTTATCAGTGTTTCAGGGGTGCTATGTATTCTTGGTACCATTACTAGTTCCATTCATAACCATGAGTTTAACCATTCCTGTCAATATTCATAGATTTGGAGCTCAAAACCTGAAATTCATTGCCCCATTTGGAATATTTAATGCAAATAAAATGTCCTTTTTTAGGGAACAGAGAATGCCTTGTTCATGTTTTCTGAACAGGCTGCCAGAAGGAGCTCCCAGTCTCCCTTCATTTTCCTTAACCTGAAGAGCTGTACCCTCCAAGGGGGATTTGGAGATTCACCTCACGGAAACAAGGTGCTTTCTTTGCCAGCTCTGTGCTTTCATCTATTTATCTTTTCAGTTCAAATCACCTTTCTCAGGGGCCACATGGTGTTTTTGAGAGAGCAGCTCTACATATGGCTGCTAAAGGGAAGTTTAATAATGAAAACACCCATTTGAATCCAAACCAACAAGTTGACTTTCATTCTGAATTTTATTACCACTTCAGCAGCAGTCCCTCAGGGCGAGCTGGGGAAGGCTTCGAAGTCTAATGCTCTTCAGTGTACGAGATGGAGTTGGCAGGCTCCCAACAGGGGCTCAGAGGCTCCTCTGCTAGCATGAGAACGGCATCTGCCACATGTGTTTGCACCGTTTAGTCTTTCAGAACCTGCCAGAGCCATCAGGCTAAATACGTACAAGATGACAATGCTGCCAGGAGCATAAGGGGTGTGCAAACTTGGTCACCCCCTAGCAGGGATCCCTGCTGGAAGCCTTTCTAGCAAGGGCAGCGTGGCAGGGAGGCGTCTCTGACAGAGCGGGAGGGAACAGGCTCCTCCAGAAGACAACGAGCGACATCCTTCTCGTTGCTAAGGAGCTGCTCTTGCCTCTCACTGACAAACAATATTTAAAGTCTGGTCTGCCTCACTGGGGAGGTGTAGCCTACATTAGATGAGAGGCAAGGAGGAAGGAAATATTTTGTGGTGTCCTGCAAAAAAAACACAGAATCCTTCCCCTTGTAAAAGGTGTAAAGGAAATGAACAGAGCTGGGCACTGCTGGCGAGCAAAACTGGAGTGTGCGTGCATGTGGCTGTCCATCCAAGAGCTGCCTACAGTCACTCTCATTTGCAGGAACACACCACATTTGGAGAAGAAGCCTCTACTCTTGTGGAAGCTGGTTCTATGTCCTAGCAGCAAGGACCCCACCCCACCCTGCTGACTGTCAGGTTTGGTGGCACAGGATAGAGCACCAGCGGCAAGGTGTAAAGCCAGAAAGTCTTAAAAACTGAAGGAAAAACCTTCAGAATAACACACTTGGTTTGTACAGGAACAAAACAAAGAGTAAGGTATAAAGTTAAAAAAGATCAGTAATTGCAGTTATTTTAAAATAATTTACAACCTTGTGACAGGGAAGGCCTGGCAGAGGAAGAGGACCAGCTCTGGGAGAGAGCTGATCAGCTCTGGACTGACACTGACCCCTGAGCAGGGACACATGCTGCTGCTTCTCCCTGCAGTGAGACCAGGATAAGGTGGCATTTTCCAAGACTCAAAGGGCAGGTGGCACCTTGTGATAATAATGGCCAGTCTTCGCAAGCGAAGATCCGGGGAAGGTCTTTACTCCTTCCAGCCTGCGCATTGGATTTTTTAGGTGAGACACAGTGTGCGCGGAACTGAGCCCACCCTTTAATCCTAAGGTTCATCTGCCGGGGCCAAGCGAGCTTGGACGGTGGCAGCGAGGTCCTTAGGACGTAGGTGGGTTGCCTTTAAGGCTAACGAGCCCCACCTGCCCGGGAGTGGCCCTGACCGGGAATCGAACCCGGGTCTCCGCGGTGATAGCGCGGCGCCTTTACCCCTAGACCACCAGGGGCTCCTTTTACCTTGTGATAATGCCTTTGAAAAATCCATCTGCAGACTGGCATGTCCATGATTACAGGTGTGGAGGATGCTGTGTCTCTGGCTGTTCTTCTGCTACTCAGAGCTTTTATGGAAAGAACAAACCCAAACTGAACTCCTCACATCCCTGCTACCCCCACTCTTCCAGCACACATATACTCAGGGGAAGACAGCCCATGAAGTGGGTTGAATCTGTTTGCAACTCTCATTAAATGCCTCTAAACAATCCTTAATACAGACCTCTTGAAATCTCATTTGTTTCCTTCCAAAGCTGGCCACAACTCACCAGTGCCCTGCCCTCCATCCCCTTAAACCCAGTATCCCTCTAGTCACTGCTGTGCCCTCAGCACACATGGCTTTTTCATAGTCAGTATAAGCAGTCTTTGATCAATTAAAGCTCCTGCTAATCTGTAAGGAGTGGAGAGTCTCCTTTCCTCTCTGGAGCTTCCAACACTTTGTACAACATGGGCAATTTTCAAGCTAGATGTCCATTTTCCTGGGTTTGAATTTTTTTTAAGAGAAAACGTAATGCTCAAAACAGGCTATACCAGTTACATCTGGAAGATACTGTCCATTTTCAAATCCTCAGACCTCAGGACATGCAAAGTTATTCCCTAGCACATTTGGATCCCTTAATCTTGAATGGCTTTGGTGGATTATGGCAGCAGAGTTTCTCGGTGGTGCCTTTGGCACATGATGACAAAAGCTCCCTGTGCAGGGCCCAGTCAGGCAGCGAAGCCTGCTGCTGCACAGACCCCAGGGACCAACCCAGCAGGACAAGCACAGAGGAAATGGAAGCTGCTCACCTGACACAGGCTCAAGTGGAACACAATTATGCCAGGAGTGCCTACACAGAGCAGGGAATTCCACTTCCCAGGAGTAGGGAGAGTAAAGTACTGTAGAGGGATGGGATGCAGCACAATTTTAATTTCCAGGTCATATTGACAATACTTCCCAACTACAGCTTGCAGATCAGCAAAAGTCTTTTCTCCAACACAAGCACCTAAGATACATTATTTTGGAGACAACAGTGGATGTTTTTAAGACTCTTAATTACAAAGACATGGTGATTCCAGTAAAAGGTACAGAATATTTTTAGATGTATTTTGGATAGTCAGACCAGGAATCATAAAGTGTTAGTTTAAGGAAAATATAAAATAAAACCATTGAGCATTTCCTGCCAATATCATCTGAGCAATAATTTCGAATGACAGCTTTATGCAGGTTTACATAGGTAAAAAGCAGGACCAATTTGTGTAAAATCCCCTAGAGCACCACCTGAGAGTATCGTTCTTCAGCACAAAGGGCATAACATGCCTGCAACTTCTTAATGTTTGCCTACAACTGCTGAACAGCCAAGCAAGTGTTGAACCAGCAGCCCTGGTTGTAGCAAGAAGCACCTTTAGCTCTTGGCTCTGCAGTTCTGCTCCCTGAACACCCGTTTGCCCACGTGCTTTACTCCTGTTAA